TCCAGTAACCAGGTCCTTGAGCAGAACATCATCTGCTTTGGTTAGTTTACCCATTTGTGCGACAGACAATGGCAGTGTTATCCAAATTTATCAATTCAGAAGGAAAACCCAAAGCAAATGTCAGAAGAAGAGTGCCAAGGAAACTGCTTTTCAGAACAAAAAAGATCTCACAGAATCACATAAAACTAGACCCAGAGGTGATCTACAACAAGAGCAAGCTGATACAAGAAGCAGTAAAGTCAGACATCTTACCCTCAAGCCCCACAAGAAGAAAAAAGCAATTTCTCATACTTTGACAAAATATTCCAATGTTACCCAAAACTACCAAATAATCAAAAAAACTCTATCAAAGAGTCAGAAAGTAGCTGCACCAGCAGATGCTGAAGAGTCACTCTCCAACGAAGAGCAAGATCTCAAGAAACGAAACCCCAAACAACACCATAATCCGAAAAACATGGGCATTTTAAGCTGCACAAAATGTAAAAGAAACTTTAGTGATAAATCTACTCTTACATCTCACCAAGAAACATGTACCAAAGCTAAACAGTTATCCTGTTCCAAATGTCAGCTTGTTTTTAAAACCAGTAGTTCTCTATCTAAACATCTAAAAATTCATAAGAAAAAGAATCCTTTTACTTGTGCTGAATGTGGGAGACATTTTGCATATCAGTGTCACCTCCTACTCCACCAAAGGAGACACACAGGAGAGAAGCCATTTGTGTGTTTGGAATGTGGGAAAAGCTTTGTTGAAAATAGGCTACTTGCTTCACATCAGCTCCGTCACACAGAGGAGAAAGTATGTCCGTGTCCTGAATGTGGCATTAATTGTTACAATAAATCACAGCTTATTAAGCATCAGAGAACTCATACAAAAGAGAAACCATTCTCGTGCTCGGAATGTGGAAAATCGTTTGCTCTTAACACTGATCTTACAATACATCAAAGAAGCCACACAGGAGAAAAACCATATTCGTGTTCTGAATGTGGGAAATGTTTCACCAGCAGTTCACACCTGGCTGGACATAAGAGAGCACACGCCAAACTGTATGAATGCTCTCAGTGTGGAAAAGGTTTGACCACAAATAGGAGTTTGATTCAACATATGCGTGTGCACTCTGGCGAAAGACCATATGAATGTCCTGAATGTCAAAAATCTTTTATAAGTACATCAGCCTTAAGAAAACATGAACGAGTTCACACTGGAGAAAAACCATATGTATGTCCTGAATGTGGAAAATGTTTTTCCATGAAACCAGGTTTAGATAAACATGTCAGATGGCACACTGGTGAGAAACCCTTTGTTTGTCCTACGTGTGGAAAACGTTTTGGATCGAAATCTCATCTTCAAACACATACTAATGTTCACACAGGTGAGAGGCCGTTTGCATGTTCTGAATGTAAAAAAAGTTTTAAATGTAATTCTTCTCTATGGAGACATAAGTTGAGTCATACTGGAGAGAAATCCTATATATGTTCTGACTGTGGGAAAAAGTTTTTTTGCAAACAAGATTTAGATCGACATATGTTACAACATAAAGACAAGCCATTTGCTTGTTCTGAATGTGAGAAGCATTTTGTGTCTGAAGCCCACCTCAGGAGACATCAGATGAGTCATGTAAACGTGAAATCATTCTCCTGTTCTGAATGTGGGAATGCATATACCAGTAAGAAAATTCTTATGATTCACCAGAGAATTCATACAGGAGAGAAACCATATCAGTGTTTGGAGTGTGGAAAATATTTTCGTTACACATCGAGTCTTCGCTCACATAGAAAAATTCATACTACTGAAAAGCCGTTTTCGTGTTCTGAATGTGGGAAGAGTTTTACACGTAAGGGAAGTCATATTGCACATCAAAGAATTCACACTGGAGAGAAGCTGTACTTTTGTTCTGAATGTGGAAAGGGCTTCAATAGGAAAAGTGCACTTGTCACACATTTGACTTATCACACTGGAGAAAAAGCATTTGAATGTTCAGAGTGTGGGAAACGTTTCCCCAATAACCAACTTCTTGTGAACCACAAACGAGTTCACGCTGGTTTGAAAGCATATAAGTGTTCTGAATGTGGAAAGTGCTTTAGTTCCCGCCCAAATCTCCTCATACATGAGAGAACTCATACAGGAGAGAAACCATTTCCATGTCCAGAATGTGGGAAACGCTTTACTTGTAGTGGTAACTTAGCTATGCATGAGAAATCCCATACAGGAGAGAGGCCATTCAAATGTACAGAGTGTGGGAAAAGTTTTATCTATAGATTACGTCTGGTTGAACATATGAGAAGACATACTGGAGAAAAGCCATTCTCATGTTCGGTTTGTGGCAAATCCTTTTTCACTAGGTATAGTTTTGTTGTACATGAGAGAAGTCACACAACATAAACCATTTTTGTGCTCTGATGGAAGGATGTCTTATTTTCAGCCCTGTTTCTAAGAAGATATGGAAGGATTCACACTGTGAGCAAATTATATGCATGTTCTGATTGAGGAATACGTCAAGTAGAGTTTCCTTTCTAATCATTTAAAGGGACAGTATGAGCACTGGAATCATACCAGGGTTATGATGCTTGGAGTAACCTTTTAACTAGTGTTTTCTTACTGAATATGTTTATATATTTTTTTATTCCATAATAGGATTTTTGCAGTATGTATTGTTTAGTGTGATTTATTTTTTATTTTTGTATACTTTTTAATTTTTTTCTGCATATGCTCATCCTGAAATTATATGAAGAATTTTATGCATTATATGTGTATTTCATACACAGCATAGTTTTATACATATATTTAAGCTTTATAATTAATTGCTAGATGAGTAACTTTTTTTGGTTTGCCTATTGTGCCCCATCCAATATGGCTTCATTAAGCTGGCTGAGCATTGTGGGAAATATCTGTGATTAACCACCAGCGCAACCTGAGCTGTGATTTTATTTTTATCTTTTTCTTCAATCTTAATGAATTCTGAATTTCCAAATGTAATTTATAATCATAGAAATCCTTATTTGATATTGGCTGTCCTCGAGAAAATTCTTGATTTAATAAATATATTGGTTTATATAGATTTGCTTATTTATTTAAATTTTTTTTGTAAATCTTTATTTTTGCAGTACATGTACATACAATAACATTGGCAGCAATAGTGACCTATCGGCAGAATGCATTATACAGAAATGACAAGATTAGGAGTAAGACCTCAAGAAAACATACTGAAAGAGTGGCACATGTGCATGATAGTGAATAATTATACAGTCAGATTCACACTATTTGCTAACCGACCGTATGATACTTAACCCCTTAATGCCGTTCTATGCCGTCCCCATTATAATGGGCTTTAAAGCCGTTGCAGCGGCATAAAACACCGTAACGGCTTTCTACCCCTGGAGGTCCCATGGTACTTACCTCCACCGCGATCCTCTTCGGGAGGGCTACCTGACAGCCCAGGCAGCCCTCCCATGGCAAATCATGCCCAGGGGCCATGTGATCGCTCTAAAAGAGCGATCACATGGCCCCATATAGCTCGCTGTGGATCTGCCAGCAGGGGGGACTGTCTTGGCTGTCAGACAGTCCACCAGCTGGTGGGTAGTGTAAAAAAAAAAAAAAATATTAAACATGTTTAAAATAAATTGTGTATTTTTAATATATATATATATATATATATAGTGGATAGTTAATACAATGCTAAACAAAAATCTGCACACCAGTCAAGCCATAAGACTTGCTTTTCCCACAGAAATCCCAAATCAGCAGTGATGTTACAACCACAAAGGATTCTGGGTGGGCATATGCAAATTAGTTTAACAAAGAATCACATTTTTGCCTCATTCCATTTTAAACATGGATTCCTTTTAATTTGTGTTTGCAGTATACAACTGCTTGAAGCACAATTTAGGATAAGATGCAAAACCAGTGAACCACTCATGGACAGCTGTTTCGTTGTTAATGCAACTCTTCAGCATGAGGTTGGTTACTGGTTTGCTTAGTGAGGCTTGGTAGTGCTTGGGAAGCAAAATCTAAATAGGTTATGGTGGGGAAAAATTGTGATTCAAAACCCCTTCCACCTGAAGTATGTGGATAGTTAATACAATGCTAAACAAAAATCTGCACACCAGTCAAGCCATAAGACTTGCTTTTCCCACAGAAATCCCAAATCAGCAGTGATGTTACAACCACAAAGGATTCTGGGTGGGCATATGCAAATTAGTTTAACACATTTTTGCCTCATTCCATTTTAAACATGGATTCCTTTTAATTTGTGTTTGCAGTATACAACTGCTTGAAGCACAATTTAGGATAAGATGCAAAATATATATATATATATATATATATATATATATATATATATATATATATATATATATATATATATATATAAGCAAACTCTGGCACTCTTCCTTTGAATCCAAATAAAATGCAGAAATTACCCGGGTGCTTCCAAGCCACTCAATGTATATAATCAATAAAGGAGCACTCCGAAGGATTTTGAAAAAATATTTATAGTCCGTTGTTGAAAAATCAAATCATCAACGTTTCGACCCAATAGGGTCTTTATCAAGACCCTATTGGGTAGAAACGTTGATGATTTGATTTTTCAACAATGGACTATAAATATTTTTTCAAAATCCTTCGGAGTGCTCCTTTATTGATATATATATATATATATATATAGTAACGTCATACGTAGTGTATTTTAATATTAACCTCTTCAGGATGGAGTCACTTGTACACGTTCTGATCAAAACAAAATGTAAACAAAAACTGGAATTTGCGCTATGTCTGTTCAACCGTAATTCACCTCTTTCATATTAAGTGCACCCACACTTATTATATATCATTTTGTTCAGGAGAAACAGGGCAAATATTTATATATGAAACATAATTTATAATGAATAAAATAAAAAAACTGTG